ATCGAGATGATCAATTAGGGGGTTTTCCAACATTAAAACAACCTTTCCGAAAGATTTTTGAGGTTCATCTATAAATCTACATGTTAAGGTTGAAACCTTATATAAACTTTTACCTTTATATAAACTAATTATATATAACATATAGCATATAACTAATTATAGTTATATAATATATAATTATAAAATTATTACAACTACATATAATTAAAGTAATGATCTTATAAACGCCTCCCACCATAGGACCCCAATCTTATGTCTTCATCCAGATCTTGAGGAGAGATTGGCACGCTAGCTTACCAATAAAGGCAGTAAAAAAGAACCGGGTAAAATGATATAAAGAAAAAAAGAAAACGGCATTAGCCTATGCGATCTCACAGCCATTGGACACTTCCCCAATGAAGCTCTGTTTCTATTTCTATCTCGAGTGGATTAAATTGAAAGCATAGGCCCTGCCTCTTCCTATGTAAAAGAAGCCACACAACTTTCGACAATCAAATCACAACTGCGGAGAGGGGAAGGGGCGGGGTGACGCCAGAGTAAAAAGCTGAGCTCGGGTGAGTTGTTGGGGTGAAGAGAGATTAGCTAAATAAGCTATCTAGCATATCAATTGCAACCCGTTCATGAACCTCAATATTCATTTGCAAATTGTGAACTATATATCATCATGATCTTGCTTTGAACCTTATGAAGACTAGTATGTGCTTTCTTTAATTTGTAAATCCCAGCAAACTTAACAATCAGTAATGTTTGAAAACCATTATCAAAGAAACAAGACACCAGTCGTCCATTCATTTACAATGTAGAGAGTGAGGGTCCAATTTCTCGAAACATCACATTAAACATGTTGAAATTGGTCAATGTGGGAAAGCCCCAGAGATTCGGGTCTTCCATCTATTTACAGTTTGGAGAGAGAGAAATCAACATTGAAAACACAAAAATTTTAACCCTTAATCCTAGGACATATGGGTCTCAGTAAGAAGGTCATGGTGAGAAGAATCCAGTGGAGTTTGTGGGAATTCACTCGTATCCAAAGATGAAGAAGAATCACCATTATGCATAACCGTAGCAATTAACCTATCAAAATCATCGAAAAAACTCGAACCAGATGCTTTCCATCTCTCCCCCTCTTCCTTCATAGTTGGTAATGGCGCTTCAAGCTTGAATTCTCGACTTCCCAGGAAAAACTCCGACGACCCAATAAGCTTGACTTCTCTTTTGGGGTCGCTCCATCTTTCTTGTCAGCAACTTTTTCGGTGAGTTTTTGGACCAATTGCTGGAAATTTGCACCATCATCTTGATGACCTTAGGTGCAAATATGTGAATAATTCTGATGGCTTGTTGGTTCGCTATCTCTTTGGTTATGGTATGAGAGGCTTGAAAAGTGCTAAGGACTGGTCCACAACTGCGAGGCTTAGCCATTTTCTTGTTCTCCATGGAAGTAGAGAGAGAAAGAGGTTAGAGACAGAGGTTTCATACTTTCATGGGCTCTGCAGGCACGTGTTGAGGCAGAGGAACTGGCTTGGTGAGGGTCAGAGGGGGAAGATTCACTGTGGAGATTTCAGCAAGCACATATGTAGCAAAATACTGGATGAATTTTAGATAGAGAGGATTCAATATGTAGATATGGGCTGGCACAGGAGCATGAGGCTTCTTTTTTTGTCATGGAGAGAGAAAGGATTTACTCCCATATGAGCACATATATCTAGTGCAGGGAGGGAGAGGGAGAGAGAGGTGTGGACTTGCAATACAGAGTAGGGACGGCGCAAGAGTGAGGTCCTATGCAGCGTATATGTGTGAGAGGCTCATACTCATGTAATTATTATGGGAATTATATATATATATATATAGTAATAATTCTTTGAGACCCTCTCACGCTCATGTTGGGGTCCTACACATATGAGTGTGGAAGGGTCTCATATTATCATTATATATATATATATATATATATAATTTTTTTGTGGTGAATCATTGGGGGGATACCAAGTCCCTACTCGTTTTATTGAAAAACAAAAGAGGTTTCACATAAACAGGTCTTATACAACCCTTGGCAAGGGAACACTAGTAACATCATATGAAATATAGGGTATTACAAAATCAGGAGGGCAAGCTCGCCACACAATTGCATCATTCATAAGGACTATTGTCTTGGCCAAAGAATCTACAACCATATTTCCCTCCCTATAGGCATGTTGGGCCTTTTCATTGTTGGTCAGCAAAAGATGCAAGCTTAGATATATTATTAGCCAAAATTAAATGCAATATACTAGAAGGCTTGCAACGCCGATTTAAGGAGTCAACAAGGAGTTTAAAGTCACTCGCAATGACAAGAGGTACACAATTCAGCTCCATCGCCAATGAAATACCCCTCTCAAGTATATAAAATTCAGCTGTATTATTCGAATTGGTACCTAAAAAAGCTGCAAAGGCCGTAATAAAACTACCTACATCATTCCTGATAATGCCCCCACAACCAGCACTACCAAGATTTTGTCTAAAGGCCCCATCGAAGTTAAGCTTGAAATATCCTAAAAGAAAAAGTAGCAACGCCACCTGAAATATGAACTCGGGGTGCTACATTCAAAAATAGCGGAAGGTTGGAAGCTGTATTACATTTAGAAGAATGAAAGGCCCAATTATTACATCTATTGGGTTATGATGTCTTTATTTGGGCGGACCTCAACTCACTCCATAAAATATAATTTACCACAGGTTTTTGGGGGCCATGCCTCTTTTTCAATTTCCTGGAAACATTAATTTCACTTAGTTAGTAAAATTGACATTTCTAGAAAAGTGGCTTTAAAACGTGGAAATCAGTCTTTACACAAAATAAGACTCGCATCCTAGGATGGCATTCAAACAACATTTACAGGCAATGGGTCTCTCGGAGACCCATTTACAGGAAACCAAACATGCCCTAAGTGAAACAATAAAAAAAATGATCTAGCGGCTTAAAGATCCTGCAGGGTCTAGTGAGGATAACGACAGATTCTGCAAGTGGGAAAGATTTTCGATTGTGAAATGGGAAAATGCATGCTAGACTAGCAAAGTTTATTACGTGAGTGTTCCTAATTGTTTCTCCTATTTTTTAATTTTATTTATTGAAAAATTTGTTGACCTCAAATAATTGGGATAAGACTCGATTGATGAAAATAATCTCTTAAAAAAATCTACTTTTTAGACCCAGTATAAATTATATCTAACTGTGAGGCCCTTTATTTTATTTTTTGTTTTTATTTTTTTAAATTTTTGCTCCCCAGTTGATGTCTCTTAAATGAAACTAATTTGTTTTTTGGGATTGTTTACAAAGAGACCATTTATCTTTTGTACAAGGAGGTCACTATTATTCCCACTCGTTAGATGTCAAATTGGATGGTTTAGGGTGAGTCATGAAGTTCGAGAATTCTTTTTTTGCAATTTTTGTGTCTATTTAATGTTACTTTTACAATCACCCATTTTGAAATCCAAAGGACAAGAATGATTGTAACTTCCTTGTACAAAGATAAATGATCTTTTTATAAATAAGGGTGTGGTTTGTATAGAGCCTGGGCTCTAAAACAATCAAATTAGAGCCTACCTTTAAATAGTATCGAGAAATGTAGTTTCAATACTAAAAAATATTTGTGATGACCTTAAAATATATTTTTATCTTTATTTATAAAGTTTAAAGCTTCAAAAATATTGTAGATCAATAGATCTATTAAAACTTGAAAATCTTGAAAATTGACGTTCCAAAAATGCATTACAAAATACACTATTTCCAAAACTTGAAATCCATTTTTTTCTCATGTCTATGCATCTTGATGTTGATGATCAATTTGAGTATATTTGGACACCAAAACAACCTCTTCTAGTAAAATTTTTGAAGTAGGCTCAAATTTGATTGTTTAGAGCCTCGGCTCTATATAAACTTTTCCCTATAAATAATCCTTTGTTTTTCTCCACTTTTCATACTGCCAGGATGGTTAACATATTGAAACACCCCAATCCCAGGGTGGTTCGATAAAGGAACATCGTATTGTCCTACGTTCTAGCCTAGCCGGTACATGGGCATTGTCCAATATTTTAAACATAGCACTCTTCTATAGAGGATTCATATAAGGGAAAAGTTTATATAGAGCTTAGGCTTTAAACAATCAAATTAGAGCCTTTCCCAAAACTTAACAATCAAATTAGAGCTTATGCCAAAACTTTAACTAGAAGAGGTTGTTTTGATGTTCAAATATCCTTAAATTGATCATCTCGACATCAAGATGCATGTACATTAGGAAAAATGGATTTCAAGGTTTAGAAATAGTGCATCTTGAGATGTATTTTTCAACCGTCAATTTTCAAGTTTTTTTGATTTACACTATTTTTTATGCTTTAAATTTTAGAGTAATGATTTTATATGACCTTAAAGGATTACTATTAAAGTTGGCATGGATATCTAAAAAAATTATCACATAGGTGTAGGACTTGACTTTTTTATAGATCCGTATCAAATTTAATGATAATCCTTTGAAGTTCTATACACATGGATAAAGGAGGGTCCTATAGAATCATTTCTCTAAATTTTGTAACTATAGATGAAAATATAATTTAAAGCTATTACAAAACTTTTCAGCATTGAACCTATATTTTTTGATAGTATCTCAAGGTAGGCTCTAATTTGATTGTTTAGCGCCCCGGCTCTTTATAAACGGCACCCTTCATATAATCTTTCTGTCAAATAAAACGGACAATTATACACGATGGCTCGCAACGACATCTTCAACGAGATGACTAAAAATTCAAAATGTAAAGAAGGAACTGGAAGGAGAAGTGGCGCCACCTGTCTTGGCTTTGGGGCACTTAAACTGGATCTGGATCCGCATTCAGAGCATCAGGCAAGCAAAATATCTGACCGTCCAAAGACAATTCAGATCAACGGATGGAGATGACGATCCGTGTGGTTGCTCCTGATTGATCAGGTCACTCCTCAGAGATAAACGGACGCACGATAAATACTATCTGAAGATTTTCAAGTTCTTCAATCTTTTTCTCGCGCACTGTCCAAAACAAAAACAAAAACAAAAACAAGAACAAAAAAAACAGAGCCTCTTTCCCTCTCAAATAAAACCCTAATCCCTCTCTCTCTTTGACCATAAAAACCAGGGGAGATGGCGGGCAGAGGAAAAGCCATTGGAGCGGGAGGCTCGAAGAAGGCGACATCAAGGAGCAGCAAGGCTGGGCTTCAATTTCCAGTGGGTCGCATTGCTCGTTTCTTGAAGGCGGGGAAATATGCAGAGAGAGTTGGTGCTGGTGCTCCTGTTTATCTTGCTGCTGTTCTTGAATATCTCGCTGCTGAGGTGATTTTCTGGTTATTGCTGTTTTTATCTGTTTTTTTTCTTGTTATTTTGGGGGAAATGGTTGCTTGGTGATGTTGTTTTGCTGTGTTTCTTTATATTTCATTGGATTAATCATGCTTACTGTGTTGTCTTTCTATTAAATCTCTTTGTTGGTGTTTTTTTTTCTTTTTTTCAATTTGTGTAATGGCCGTCTCATGCTCCTTAATGTTAAATTGTTTTCTAAGAAAGATTTTTTTTGATTTATTCCTCTGTTTTCAATTTTTTATTTGGTTTATTGAGTGAAAATATTTTTTTGTTTAATAATTGGGGTTCTCGTTGATCTTTGTTGGTATGTATTCCCCAGCTCTTCATTCTTGCCTTTAGGAAGGTAAATAGTGATTTAGGGTTTTTCTTGTCCTAGATGTTCTTATCTGGTCTTGTATTGCTTTAGACTTCCCTGTATTTTACAAAGCTCTTTATATAAAGGGCCTTTGTTGTAGAAAACTCTTTGGATCGACTCATGCAAGCTTTGAAAACGAAGTTGAGGATTCTTGTACTGGTTAATATGGAAGCATGTACTGAAATTGACATTGTTTTTAGGTGTTGGAACTTGCGGGAAATGCTGCTCGTGATAACAAGAAAACAAGAATAGTACCAAGGCATATTCAGTTGGCAGTGAGAAATGATGAAGAGTTGAGCAAATTGCTTGGAACTGTGACCATTGCTAATGGTGGTGTTTTACCTAACATTCATAACAACCTTTTACCCAAGAAAGCGTCAGCATCTGGTGGCTCGAAGGCCTCTGCTGATGAATGAATGAATTCATAGAGATTGGGGAGGATTTTCTTCTGATAATTAGAGTTTTGATAATTAGTGGTTCAGAGCATCTGTATTCTTCTCTTCTGGTTCATTCCCTTCTGATTGACCGTGATTTGGGCACGTGTAATATACCAAGTTAGTTAGGTTTTCAAAACTGATTTCTATTCTCTTTGTTATTGAAACCATGCAATCAGTCATCTGTTAATGGAATGTGTGTGATTTTTGATCTGTGTCTCCATTTCTATGAATCTCCCTCTCTCTTACTCTGAATCTCTATGAATCTGTCTCTCTCTCTCTCTCTCTCTCTTCTCTATCTCTCTCTCTCTCTCTCTCTCTCTCTCTCTCTCTCTCTCTCTCTCTCTCTCTCTCTCTCTCTCTCTCTCTCTCTCTCTCTCTCTCTCTCTCTCTCTCTCTCTCTCTCTCTCTCTCTCTCTCTCTCTCTCTCTCTCTCTCTCTCTCTCTCTCTCTCTCTCT